GCTGTGGCTCAAGTGGTAGAGCACTAGCCTTGAGCTGAAGAGCTGAGGGACAGCGCCCAGGCCCAGAGTTCAGGCCCCACGACCGGACCCAAAAAAAGTATTATATAATGTGACTGGCACTATCTAAGATCTAATATGTGTGTTTTCCTTTCAGATGAATTGTGATACAAATCCCTTTGAAGCTGGACTGGACTATTTTGTCAAGTTAAATAAGGTATGTCTACATTACCAAATGTGCTTGAAGTAAATACTAAAATTATGACATTGTTTTCTGGCAGAGCCATATTTTAAAACTTAATATGATATAGAGGAAATGAACATAAATAAATTGAGCATAAATGCTCAATTGTTTTGTATCAACACTTGTCAAAATTTGATCAGTTCAAACTGTTAGACCATACTTGTTGATTTAAGAGAGAAAATTCCACCATCTTTAAAAGCTATGTTTACAATCAAACTTAAAAAATAGTAAAACTAGGCTGGGCCCTGGTGGCTAATGCCTGTAATCCTAGCAACTAAGGAGGCTGAGATCTGAGTATCACGGTTCAAAGCCAGCTAGGGCAGGAAAGTCTGTGAGACTCTTATCTCCAGTTAACCACCAGAAAACCAGAAGTGGTGCTATAGTTCAAGTGGTAGAGCACTAGCCTTGATCTGAAGAGCTGAGGGACAGCGCCCAGGCCCAGAGTTCAAGCCCCATGACTGACAAAAATAAAAAAAAAAGGTAAAACTAAGATGGTGTCAATCAGATTTCAGTAGAGTTTCTTGTAGAAATTGTGCCATGTTGTTTATATTGCAGTATTTCTGGTGGCCTGGGAAGTTGCACATTAGCTAAGCAAACATTCTGCATCATTGATTCTCCTGCTGTCTACAGTATGAAGCCGCCTTGGTCTTACTAAGCATCTTTGTATGTAACTGAAGCTGCTGAATCCAAGCAAATGACATTTCAAATGTGCCCAGCAATAAATTGGTATTTGCTGAGAAGCCAGTACAGGCCCAGAGAAACATAATTGATATTAATACTCCAAAAGGAGCCCTTACATCAGTGGTCCACAAAGTCTGGTCCTCAGCCTAAGAGCGTCAGCATTACCTGGGAACGTGTAAAAATGCAAAGGCTAAGATCCAACCCAGGTTTACTAAAAGCTGGAGTCAGGCCAACAGATCTGTGCTTTGGGAAGTCCTTGTAGGAGATTCTGATACATCAAGGATTTGAGAAACACAGTTCCACCTAATTATGTGAAAGTATGTCAAAAAAGTATGTCAGGGGCTGGGATGGCGGCTCAGTGGTAGAGTGCTTGCCTTGCATGCTTGAGGCCCTGGGTTCGATTCCTCAGCACCACATAAGCAGTAAAAACGAGAAGTGGTGCTGTGGCTCAATTGGTAGAGCATTAGCCTTGAGCTGAAGAGCTGAGAGATAGTGCCCAGGCCCAGAGTTCAGGCCTCATGACCAAAAAAAAAAAAAAGTCAATCCACTGTGGCCTACTTCATCTATACAAGTCCTACAAACACAAATGAGGTTTCCCCACGGAACAGTGCACAAGTCAGTACAAAAGAGCTCGTTACTGTTGGTAGTATTAAAGGCTGGGCACAGCAGCTGCTGCAATTTAGGGTATTTACTAGAATTCCAAAATTATAACTGTCCTGTCTTTGCTGCTTGGATAAGCTAAAGGCTACTTTTCCAGCCTAGGGGAATATGTGAACCCATGCAAATGAAATGGGCTAAGGAAACATTTTTAATGTCCAGTATCAGTTCCCAAATTCTGGGCAAAAATAGTAACATAAAATATGTTTATTTATAGTCCTAGATTTTAGGGGAAAGAAGCTAGGGTTTTAAAGGGAATATCTTTATATTTTTCCATGGCTTCTATTTTTATGATGTGCCATCTGCCTCCAGACCAGAGAAGGGAGGTGCTTGGAATTTGAGCAGATCCTCGCGGCAGATTGTTCCTTCTGACAGCAGAAGTCTTTGCTCGACTGTTTCAAATACAGATCAAAATTACTGACTCTTGAGAGCACTAAAGTTCTACTGTTGGTCACCAATAGCTGGATGGAGAACTGATGGCTTTTGCTTCAGTGTTTGGATAATATTGTTTGGGAATAAGACTTTGATAACTGATGTCTTCATATTGAAATCGGATTTTTAAAAAACTTTTATGATTATTAGTAGGTGTGGACTGTTTGTTTCTGATCTCTTATAAATGATATGCTCAAATAAGTTCAGCTCTGAAGGAAGTTATTTAATACTAAGTTTGATCGATGGCATTTAAAAAAATCATTCTGAAGTGTTGGTTCTCCTTCAGGTGTCACAAAGTTAATTCTTAATGATTTTATTGGGTTAAGTTCCATACAGCTCAAATATCTAGACCTAAGCCAGGTCTTTTAAATTATGTAGAGTCAGGAAGTTAGTTGGTATCATTCTATTCAAGGCAATGCATATTGATTTCCAAGTCACGTAAAAATATTTGACCAACTTGGTTTAGATGCTGTCTGTTATTTTCTAACAATTTTGTCATAGCTCATAGCAGTCTATAATGTGAACAAGGTTCCTGAAAACATTGCAAGCTAAGCTATATAACTTGATCATTCAAGCCCTGTGCCTAAACCACAAAATGCTACTCATTTAATGTACAAAGATATTCCCTTTTTTATATTTTTTTAAAAAAACATATTCCTTTCAACATTCAATGGAAGATGTCCCATAACTTTTAAAATAATAATAATACACAAGCCTATATTGCTTTGGAAAATTGATGCTTTATGAAAAAGAACCTACAGCTAATATAGAGAGGTAATAATATTATTAGAATTTTCTGGTTGACCCTCAAGTGTATGACACAATGATTGTAGGAATTGTAGTGTGACAGAAAGAGAGAAGCAGATGGTCAGAATTAGAAGGGCCCTGGAGAACACACTGGGCCTTCTCTTTGATAAGGGTGACAAAACTGAAGCACAGAAGTGAAGTGACTGGAGTCAGATCATTGTTTCAGAGCTCTGATCTCAGTGTGGGACTTCCTCACCCACCACTTTCCCAACAGGGTCCTTTTCCAAATGGGCTTAGCAGACTTGAAAAACTGCTCAGGAATTTCTTTCTTTCCTTTTGACTGTAAAATTAGTATACACTTATGTCTGTTATCATCAATTTTGCGTTTTATAGAAGAGTTAATTCAGCTCATTTTCAGAAGGAAAATGTCTCATTGAGAAGATGGGCTGTCAGCCTCATTATGGTGAGCTGTGTTCTGGTCAAAATCAGTATGAATATAGGGAAAAGAAAAAATGGAGTACTGAAGAAATCTTTCTTTACAAAGGAAGGAGGTGTGTGTGTTGGAGGGAGACAATGCTGGCATCTTTCCTTTCTAGAATGGCCCCAGCTTCAGCTTCTACCCCTGGCTTCTCTGAAGTAGATAGACTGATTCACTTACTAAGTATTTATTAGGCACCATTTACTAAACACCTTGCTAAGCCTCAGGTTGAAAAATATACTTCTGATGGCTCTCAGGTTTCCTGTAAGTGGAAAACAGATTTTCAGGCTATTCAGAATACTGCCACCTTGTGGAAGTGAGTCACAGAGCTCTGAGAGGAAACATTTCAAATCAGTAATACAAGTAAATACAATTAAACAGAGACATTTGAAAATCTACTATAAGCCTCATCACCTGAAGCAACTCACAGCATTGTTTTAGATGGTGTTTCCATTTGGTCCAAAAAAAGTTAAGCTGGGGAAGAATCAGTATATTTTGTTTTTGTTGGAAATGGAAGAAATGAATTAAAGATGATCAAAGGGAAAATCAGCTGCCTTTGTATGGAGTCATAGGTTTTCTTGGAATTTTCCTCTAGGAATTACTGAATATTTGTCTATTTCTGGAGAATGCCTACCAACATCCTGAGAAAACTAAGTACTAAATATAATGTGTTTAAACTGACCAGAATTTTTCTGTACATTATTCTTCCTCTTTCTTGCTCCCTCTATTGAGCTTCTAACCAGAAAAAAAAATGTGGATATTGACTACAAATTAGAAGACAATACTGATTCCAGAAAATATAGCATCTTTCTTTGAGAAAATATTGAACTATTTGATAAGCAAAAACAAAACACCAAAAAAAGACAAACTGGTAAAGAGTTAAAACACTTACCACTAATAGACTGACTACAATCTTAAGCATTCAATAAAAATTATCTATTATTGAATCATCAATAATGGAAAGACACTACTGCTCAGATGTAGCAACTTAGGAATGACTACTGTGTAATAATGATGATGGGAAATTTGAAGCATATTGTAATAGAAATCAAGGAGGTTGAAAATTCATTGGCATTCAAATTTGGCTAAACATAAAATCTGGCATGTGATTCTTTTACATGATAGGTTGCTTTAAAATAATCCCAAGACTGAGATCAGTTTAAAAAGGATTGCTGGCTGGACACATTGGCATATGCTTATAATCTCAACATTCAGGATGTTGAGGCAGGAGGATCTCAAGTTTGAGGGAGCTTGAGCTATGTAGGTGAGACCCTGTCTAAAAAAGACAAAACTAAACTCCAAGAAATGGAAACGAGGGTTGTTTTTTTTGTTGTTGTTGCTGCTGTATTTGTTTTCTTTTGTCTCATCTGTCTTTGTGAGGGTAAGGGTGGACACAGAAATGGCATTGCTGGCTCACGCCTATAATTCTACCTACTCAGGAGGCTGAGATCTGAGGATGGCAGTTCAAAGCCAGCCCAAGCAGAGAAGCCCACATGAGACTCTTATCTCCAATGAACCACTCAAAACCCAGAAGTGGTGCTGTGGCTCAAGTGGTAGAGTGCTAACTTTGAGCACAAAGAGGGCCAGGGTCAGCACCTAGGCCCTGGGTTCAAGCCCCACAACTGATGAAGCAGAGAGACAGACAGACAGACAGAGACAGAGAGAGAAACAGAGAGAAACAAACAAGAAGCAATAGAGGGACAAAGGGTGAACAACTGTAGCAGTGATACTCAACTGTAGCAGTGATACTATGTTGAAAACGAACTGAACTACCTGTGAGTGGGGATGGGATGGAAAAACTGGGAGAGAGCATGTGAAGGAATGGGCAACATTGTCCAAAAAAGTAATATACTCATTATCTGATTTATGTAACTGTAACCCTTCTGTATTTTTATTTTCTTAAAAATGAAAATAACTCATAAAAAGAAAAGAAAAAAATCAAAACCCTCTCTGGGATTCATCAATCAGTTTCATCTCT